ATACTCACTGACAACTAAGCCTGATTTTTTTTGGGGGAAAAAAAGAGAGAGCAGCTACAGGCTGCAAAAACTGTTTGTTTTCTTTAGTCCTGAAAAACTATTGTGTATGTCCATGGAGGTATACCCATGGTATCTAAGTGCATTGTGTTGCAAAACCCCTCCAAGCCATTGATCTCTGTTTATTTTACTCTTTCTGTCAAACACTCAACGCAATGTTTGAGTACGGCGTCATGGCAATCTCCTGCTGATGATAAGGTACATGCGCTTGCATGACAGCTTTTGGAGACTTCTGCGTTGTCTAGATCACCATCATTGCTAACAGGTCGCAATGGAATTTCTAGACCTTCTAGTCTTGAGGTGAATCCATCTATTGCAGGTACATATTGTTTGTTGCTAAATGTTTATCTACTACCAACCCCTTTTCCTTGTACTGATGTTTTACTATATGTCAGTGGTGTGAAGCTTTGCTTAAAGTTGATGTCAGTAGTATTGGGGCTTTGCTCGAGGTATGGATCCAGAGGGTGAGAGCCGGCACTGGGGGAAGAAGCCCTCCAAAGCTCCGTGGAGGCTTCTGACTTTACCTGCATTCTTAATGTTTTATCATTCTCCTGGTGACGGTCAGAGCAATCTTACCGAAACGTCGAGACAACCAACCAGTGGTTTTTACCTTAATAAAAACCATATTCTTTTATTTTATTTACACATGGTGTACCGAAAGTGTGTTATATGTTTATTGATACTCGCCATGCAAACCTTCAAGAAATATTCTTCATGTGGTTGTCCTCATGTTGTCGTCGTAGGTAGTAAATTGTTTGTTAGTTACCACAATAACTGATAACTAAAGTTTGGTATTAGTCTGATTCTCAGAGAAAAATCATATGCACGGTGGGGAGGCTACAGTATGCTTTTACTGCTCTGCGTAAAATGAGCATTTTTAGTTATTTTAACTATTATTTACATATAATGTAATTAACATGGAGAACTCAAGATTATTAGCCAATAGGTACAGTACCTGTCTCTTATACACATCTAGATGTGTATAAGAGACAGGGCCTAGGCCATATGGTCAAAACACAGTTTGCTGAATGCCATATGCATAATTCATAATTCATAATTTTATTTCACTCAAAACGTAATGAGTTTGGTAGACATAAAAGGAACATGTCCTTGTACAAGATGCCTACCAGAGAAACAATGATAAAGGCAAAGACATAATGACAAAAATAATAATAATAATAATAAATCAGATAATAATAATAAAAAAAGTAATAATAATGAAAATAACAATAATAATGAATGAATATCAAGATATTGCATTGAAGAGAATTAAGTTAGTTATTAAAACAAGATTTCGCACTGTACGAAGCAGTGGCGCCAGCAGAAAGTCAGGGCCGGCCAGAATTGCAAGAATTTAGAAGCCATTCCAATCAATGCGATGCAATTGCACTTTTATTCATTTTAATAAATAGCGGCTTATTGTAGTTTAATGATTCTTATTCTGTAAATCAAACATTATGCTTTTTTATCTGCTTATATATTGATAGGTAAAGATTCAAGATACCTGTAGTTTTAATGAGTGAAGGGTGTGTCGTATATTAACAATACCATGTGTCACTGATGATGATGTGTCACTGATGATGATGAGAATCATGGTTAATTTTTTACATTGTGATGGCCAATTAGGAAATTCATGTCATTTGGAACTTCTGACCTGAGTCTTTTCAGCTGGAAAAGACCCAGATTTGCTGGTGTATAGACTTTTTTTGACACAAGTCTAAAAATAGACCTAGGGCATGAGTCCAAAAATCAAGGCTAAGAAAAGTAAAAAACTTGATCAAGGAATAAATTTAGATGTGGCCTTCTGTGTAAGGTGGCCTATGCCATAGCCTAAGCTAGATGAAAACATAACAAAATTTAATCTGTCAGCACCGACCAAAAAAGTGGTTAATGTGTATTCCCTCAAAAGCTTTCCAAAATGTTTTTAAAGTTGACGATGCTATCGGCGTCAGAATAGTAAACTCATGACAAATTCTTCAAACACAACTATTCATCGTACTTCATCATTTCAAATGTAGTATTTGCGCGAGTTCAACAATTTCCATACACACTGCTAAAATTATACATGTTGAAAATAAATATAGCAACAATTATAACATATTCTGTAATATTATTTTTATAATGTAGTTGGTATTGCAGCTAGATACTCACTGACAACTAAGCCTGATTTTTTTTGGGGGAAAAAAAGAGAGAGCAGCTACAGGCTGCAAAAACTGTTTGTTTTCTTTTGTCCTGAAAAACTATTGTGTATGTCCATGGAGGTATACCTCCATGGTATATCTAAGTGCATTGTGTTGCAAAACCACTCCAAGCCATTGATCTTTGTTTATTTTACTCTTTCTGTAAAAACACTCAATGCAATGTTTGAGTACTGCGTCATGGTAATCACTAGTCTTCAAGACAGTTTTCCCAATCATTGATCATGACACAGTCGATTTGCTACCCTTTGCTCATTGTTGTAAGGTTTTTGCAGTAAATTTGCTGTCTCTTATACACATCTAGATGTGTATAAGAGACAGCTGTAGGTTTCATTTCTTAAGTATAGCTTTAAACTGGTGATTTATATTGCCCTAAAATTTACCAAGGATGTAAAAACTTAGTCACTTGATTTTTATTAATAATGAATAATTCATTTTTAATTGAGTATGCATAATAATATGTCCAACTGCATGACCCGGTAACTATGTTTCATCAAATGTTGCGACACAATTAAATCAATGTAGACAATAAACAAAATTTGCTATATTAAACGATTTTAAAGTGACACACCTCCTTATTGATAAAGTGCCTTGCCCAAGGACACAAGCGACTTGCACAGCGAGAGGTTCAAACCCCCGACCTCGAGGTTGGGAGTCCAAGCCACAACCGATGCACCAACTGCTTCTAGTGCTGTTAAAATTAATCCAATTCAAACAGAGCTTTCAGTGGTACCTTGTTTTCAGATGTAGAATTTAAATATGAATTTTTACACTCCAAAATATAAATCTAATTAATTAATTACACAATAATTGCGGAATGGAGATGTAGCTTGGTGGTTAAGGTGCTTGCCTTCCAATTTCAGGGTCTTGTGTTCAAATCCTGTGACAGCACAGTATATTTTTTCACTGCTAAAAACATCTCCACTCCCTAAGCCTCGTAATCAGACAAACAGACTAATAAAAGCATCACGAGGGGGAAGCTGACTTAAAGTGTTATAGGGATTCATTTGCTTAAGCTGGCACCGATCATTTCTTTGCTGATCGAGTAAATAAAATGAAAGCGAAACAAATTATTTAATTTATTTCAGAGGACCCCTGAATCTTCTAGAATATGCTGTAAGGGTGTTACCCTCTATAAATAAGTAAAAAAAAACAATTGGATTATTGCTACTCAATATACATTTGTAGTATATAATGCTTACAGTACAACACTACAATGAATTCATTTTATAGGAGCTGACTGTACACTTGCTGACAATAGAGGGCGGTCACCTACGATGGCCCACAAGGGACACACTGCAAAGAAAAAGAAATGCTGCAAACAAAAAAGAAACGCTGCAAACAAAAAAGAAATCATGGAAACAGAAAAGAAACGCTGCAAACAAAAAAAGAAATGATGCAAACAAAAATGGAAACGATGCAAACAAAAATAGAAAACACCAGCAAACAAAAAATTAAAGAAATGCTGCAAACAAAAAAGAAACGCTGCAAACAAAAAATAAAAACACTAGCAAACAAATAAAGAAACGCTGCAAACAAAATAAAAACACTAGCAAACAAATAAAGAAACGCTGCAAGCAAAAAATAAAAACATCAGCAAACAAAAGAAAAAGCTGCAAGCAAAAAAGGAAATGCTGCAAACAAAAAAATGAAACGCTGCAAACAAAAAAAGGAAACCCCGCAAACAAAATGGAAAAGCCTTTGCGCGCGCATTTCATATTAATTGACAACAGACTGAGGTCAGGTCAGATGCAGGGGCTACATCATAGTGTCAAGCCATGACTAACTGTGGAACAAAAAGGGGTGTCTATAAAACGACGATTGAAGACCCAAAAACGAAGACCCCTATTTTTTTCTCTCGTTCATTTTGATGATAATACGCCATGTATGCTGTCACAAAATCAAATTTACGACATTTTTTGGGCGTCTGTTTGTGAAATTTTCAAGGGTCTTCGTTTTATAGACACCCTATATGGGTGTCTACAAAACGGAAGACTCGAAAAACGAAGACCTCCAATTATTTCTCAATTATCTTATTGAAAGTATTTCAAAATCATCATAAAACAGTTGCCAAGTACATGTTTCATTATTTTATCACGATTGGGAGAAAAAAATTTTGCCATTCTTGTGGTGAATCTTTAATGGAGGACTCAACTTCTAGTATTAATACACGAAAACGGCCAAGTCCAAATAAAAGTCCATCATCAAGTAGGCCTAAGCTTGCTCGTCTCTCATTTGAGGCTTTCAGAGATAGGAAAGAAAAGGAAAGGAATATTAGATTCACAAAGAAAGCCGTGTCAACGAAAATAGAGAAAAACCCCGAGGTCACCATACAGATCGGTCTTTTAACGTGATGGTGTGCTGAAAAGTGTCAGGGGATCAACTCTTCCCTTGAAAGTAAATCCTTTGATAGGAATGGAGGAGCTCTTAAAAAAAGGGGCCAAAAACATGATCAAGTTGCACAAAGAGCTCATCAGCTTCCCAGAGGCTTTTACTTTATTATACCCTGACAGAAGTGCAGTGCAATTTTTGCCAGGTAGTGAGGAGGTATTTTCCTTACAAAGATACAAGGAGCTAGGAAAATCCTACCAACGGATTTTCAAAATGATATTAGTGTAAGGCTGTCTCTTAGACACATCTTTTTTAGCATCTCTCATCTGACCTGACCTCAGTCTGTTGTCAACATAGAGATATAATAAGAATAATAATAATAGCTCTATGGTTGTCAACTAGTATGAAATGCGCGCGCGCAAAGGCTTTTCCATTTTCTTTGCAGTGTGTCCCTTGTGGGCCATCGTAGTCACCAGCTCACCTGGCAGCGCAGAAAAACCATCCCAAAATCCTAGAGAGCTTAGCTGAACGAGGTGTTGATATTGAAAGTGGTGACAAGAATGGAAAACGACCAGTACATTATGCTACAATGCATGGCGGTACTGTACTTTTTTATTTCTCTCTTTTTTCGGGGAAAAATCTTGATGTTGACAAGCTACTAATTTGATGTATTACTAAAGTTTCTCCTGGACCTTTCTAATGCATGATGGGCTTTTAAAAAGAACTGATGCTAATTCACCTTTAAAAGCAGTATTTTATGGCTATATAAAGTGATTCAATTCCAGCCACAGCAATCTGATGGGCAGGGTAATGTTATGTTCCTCAGAAAACATAATGCGAGTTACCAGGGGTGATTTAATGTTATTTGTCAAAACTCAGATTATGAATTAACAACTATTCAGTATTTGTCTTCTTTCAGTGTGACTCTTTGAATCAATAACAACACAGCCTACAGTATTGTATATATGGTTTTCAATAACAACACAGCCTATTGTATATGGTTTTCTTTCTCACCAGGTTTAGAGTGTCTGGTAAAATTACTACAGTGTGACTGTGATACATCAATCCGCGACCATTCAGGTTGCATGGCGGCTCACTATGCCGCAGCTTATAACCACATTGAATGCCTGCGTTTTTTAGTAAAGCATGGTGCTGCCTTCAGCAGCTTGGATTCATCAGGAAAAACATTAGCCCATAGTGCTGCTCAGAATGGGGCCATGACATCCCTTCATTGGCTACTTGAAAAAGGTGCAGAGACAAATGATAAAGATGGTAAGACCATGAAAAAATTTTTTATTATATTCTACAGTTTTTAATTTGTGGTTTTTCAGAAAAATTGCTATGTGTTTATTCTATATCTATGTTAGTATTGTAAGTGGAAGGTTATATAACTCTCCTCCCAAAAACTAAACAATTGAAATATTTCTTTCCCACATTTCAAAGATAATCATACTTGGTATGAGGTAATATTATTTCCTGCTCAGTGCAGGATAAAGTAACTAAACTTTCATGTTGTATGAATCAAGTTACTTGATGTTGAATGCTAACGAAGTAAATTCAAAATGATATTAGTGTAAGGTGGCAGTAGATTACACAAAGATTTAAGATTCAAGAAATTTTATTTTTCCATATAAAAATACAGAAAATTGCATTGCTTGGCAGATGACAAGAAATAAAATGAATACATACAGTGCCAAGTTAAACAAGAAGGTGCAAAAAGAGCCATACAATTTACAATAAAAATAATAAGGAAAAACAGTTCAAAAGTTAAAACCCAATAAAATGTCTTAAAACACAATAACTACTGACATATTTATTTATTGTTTTGCTCTGATATTTTTGTGCTTGCCAGTTTTCCAAATATAACAATTTCATTTAGGTTTCAACATTTCAAGGTCCTTTATTGTTGCAAATGCCACCAAGGGCCATTATCCGCTTCGTAACTACTTACTATGTATTTATTACAATCAGAATAAATAATCCGACTGCATCACTGGCTTGATTTTCGCATTTATACAGGCAATGGTAATACACTTGGACACCTTGCAGCTGCAGGTGGACATGCAAAGTGTTTCAACTGCTACCTCCAGCATGGTGGTAGTTTAGAATTAACCAATAAACGAAATGAAACAGTGTTGGACATTGCAAGGAGATTTGGACATCCACTGCTTATGAACAGGGCCTGTAAGTTTGTAAATAGTACTTACTACCATTATTTTTCTATTACCTTTCACATCCAACAGCTTAATGTTACATGTACCATGTACATAACTTCTCAATTACAAGGTAGAACGATGTTTTAGAAACCAAGTCTCTTGTAGTGACGCAGATTACTGTAACATATATTGTATGGCTTCTGCAAAAATCAGTAAGCTGTATCTACTTCAAAACTTGGCTAAACGCTTGGTTTCAGGTGTATCAAAGTACGGACATATCACCCCTTCATTGCAACAACTTCACTATTTACTCTACAAGTTAAACAGCGAATTATTTTCAAAGTGCTGCTATTTGTATTCAAATCCAGTGGCAGCCCGTAGGTTAAAATGTAGGGTAGGGCTAATGGCTGCTAGTGGGAAAATTTCCATCCAGCCTACAGTCACTGCATTCTATATAGTTAAAATACAAATACAGTATTGATTCGAATAGATGCCACATCTGGAATAAACGCCTCCTCCAATACACGGGGCGTTTATTTTTTCCTCCAATACATGCCTCCTAAATGATTGTATCCCATGCCTTTCTCGATTAAACGCTCCCTTAAAACCCCTTCTCAACAATAAATGCCCCGAGGCCTTTATTTGAATAAATACTGTATATTGTTTTAGTTTCTTCTCAGAAGATGTCTATTCCAGCAAGTTTAACAAGGTACAATCTAATTTATACAATTAAGTTTCTTCTTTACCGATCGTCTGTATGCAGATCTAGTCACACTTTCATCATTGAAATTTTAGAATTTTAGAATTTTTCAGGCAATACATATTACTAAGGAGTAAAATTCGTCGGGGAGAACAAAAGTTTATATGTATTTTTTATATATTATTAGACTCTAAAATCGATTAAATAAGCCTTTGAAACCACTTAACTGTCGTATATTCAGGGGTCCCTGGACCACTTTCGAAATGTTTTTAGCGACCACACCCACTTTTTTCGTCGGGGAAGCCAGCCTCCCCATTGGCGAAATCCTGCCGCCACCACTGCCACAAACATACAGCAATGTAATTCAACTAACCTTTCATTTTTTCCTATGAAGTTAGTTGAATTTTTGTTTAGCATAACTTTTAAAATTTATCATTTTACAGATAGTAATGAAGTTGTGTGTGTACATTGTAAAGATAAGTCAGAGTTAATCAACTGGGAAAAGTCCCATCAACCAACCAGAGTTCAAAGGTCGATGAACAGCACTTTGAAGACTTCATACAAAACACCACTTCCAACTAGACAGTATGTAGACCCATGATTTTTCTACAAATTAAAGTTTGCTTAATTTATACGAAAACACTCTTTTTTCTATTTTAATATAATATACTATTTAATATCACATTTTTGACATAACTATGCCTGATGAATATCTGTAAGGGAGCCTCGCAAAATAAAGCAACGCGTATACGAGTGGACCACGCGATGCGATTAAAGGCAGTTTAATCCCATAGTTGGCCACGCGTTAGGATTATTTTCCTGGGCTACTCCACTTCGTAGTGGGGAATTGATAACAGGCTTAGTGTGAAAACCCAATTAACACAAACAAAAACGACTCGTATAAAAATAAACCCTATTGGAAGTAACGCAAGCTCACGTTATATTTCTGAGAATTAAATTAATAATTTATCGAGATTATCGTCACCGTTACGATCAAAACCAACAGACAGCAGAAATATAAAACTAGGAGAGGCCTAGGACATAGATATTATACCTCCATGGATAGGCCTAGGCTTTGGCTTACTTAGAAAAATTATGGAGTAAAATTAAAAATCGAAAACAGGCAAATTTATGAATTGTTGTTAGGCTTAATTATATCTTTTTTACAGTTAGCCATTAAAATTATCATTTCTTATATCGTTTTATTATTAATTAAGATTATTAAATAAAACTGTCTAGGACGACAGACAGATATCGGTCTACTACAGTAGGCCTACATTCGATCATGAACTTAGATAGGGTACACTTCCTTCAGTGTTCGCGAAATACAAAAAAAATATTGAACTTCATATAACGTACCTTTATCTGATATAAATGTGAGCAGTTGTCCTAGGGCTATATGTTATCTATTTTAATATTGATTAATCTGGAACTTTGGTGGAACAGTATATCCATTGTATGTGACGAGAAACGTTTCAAAAAAAGTA